GCACGGAACGGGACGGGACGCCGCCGGCGCCTCCCACCCTCCCGGCGCCAGCCCGGAAAGCCCGGGGCACGGAGGGAGATGTAGTCGTCCCGCCTCCCTCCCCGCGTCCCCGCCCGCCTTCAGGGGCCCGCGACCGTTAGCGTAGCCGTTAGTGCTGCGCGCGCGGCCCCTCGCACCGTCCCGCCACGCACAGCCCGTCACGGGCCCCTCATGGCGCCTTTGCCCCACCGTGCAGTCCGCGGGCGTGGAAATCACACAATGTTCAAGGTTGGAAGGGACCTCTAGAGCTCACCTAGTCCAACCTTCCTGCTCCAGCAGGCACACCCAGAGCACAGCGTGGCATCCAGGCAGGTTTTGAAGACCTCTAGAGAAGGAGACTCCACAGCCTCCCTGGGCAGCCTGTTCCAGGGCTCTGTCACCCTCACAGTAAAGAAGTTCCCCCTCACCTGGAGATGGAACTTCTGTGTTTCAACTTATGCCCATTTCCCCTAGTCCTGTCGCTGGCCACCAATGAGAAGAGCTCGGCCCCTTCCTCCCTACATTCTCTCTTCATGAACTTATACATGTTAATCAGATCCCCTCTCAGCCTTCTCTTCTCCAAGCTAACCAAGGCCAACTCACTCAGTCTCTCTCCTCATATGAGAGATGTTCCAGTCCCTTAATCATCTTGGTTGCTCTCCACTGGACCCTCTCTAGAAGCTCCACCTCCCTCTTGTACTGGGGAGCTCAGAACTGCATCCAGTACAGCACAGTACAAAGGGGATGGCACGACCATGGCATCCCCTTTCTTCCAGGCCCCTTAGAGGCGAGTAGTCCCTTTCGTACCAGCCCCTTATCGGAGGCAGGGGACAACTGTTTCCTAACTTAAAAGAGGTGAAAGTCCCTTTGCCACCACTCCCCCCACAACCATCCACACCCAGCAGATAGTAACACAACACTCATAGAGTTTTGTCTTTTTATTTAAACTCTGTTACAACAAAATATACACTGGCATTAGAGAGTACAGTATCCCAAGGAGGTAACATTCATTCTGTGCGTTAGAATAACAAAACAAACAAAACAAAACCAGCGTTTGCCTTGCTCCTATCTACATCATCACATTCAGGCAGAACAGGAACAGATGCAGTAAGGAGGGCTTGCATTCGCATGCTGGAAAGCAGGGCTGGTGTCACCTATAGGGGACTGCCTGGGTAATAAAACAGCCTAGCTTCTGCTCCAAGGTTGGAGGGGGAAAAAGATCACCACACGTTCTACATTTACAAACAATTATGGAAATGCAACTGTTCCCCCTCCCTGCCAAGTAAAAATTACAACAAGGAAAAAGGTTTGTTTCCCTTTAGCGGGCAACTTCATTGTATTTAATGCTGAGACGATCTTGAGCATCCTCAGCACTCTCCAGGGTTTGATTGCTGTTGTCGCCGTCGGGGAGCTCGGCTGAAATGCGGGCCCGGCTCTCCCCGCTTTCCCTGCTCAGGGGGCTGTCGCCGAAGATCTTGGCTGAAACGCGGCCCTGGCTCTCCCTGCTCAGGGGGCTGTCACCGTCGGGGAGCTCGGCTGAAACGCGGGCCTGGCTCTCCCTGCTCAGGGGACTGTCACTGTCGGGGAGCTCGGCTGAAACGCGGGCCTGGCTCTCCCTGCTCAGGGGACTGTCACCGTCGGGGAGCTCGGCTGAAACGCGAGCCTGGCTCTCCCTGCTTTCCCTGCTCAGGGGTCTGTCGCCTCTGGCCCCCCACTCGCTGCTGTCTCTCTCGGGGCGGTCGAATTTCTGGCGACTGTCCTCCTCCATGCTCCGGGCAGGCAGCTTGCGGACCACCTCGTTGCTGTCCTGCCCACGGCTCTTGAGGCCCCATTCCAGGCTCTCTGCATACTTCTTTGCAAAGCGGTGCACCCCGAAGTCTTCCTTGGAGAAGCCCTCTTGGCGGCTGTCGGCAGCCAGGGCGCTCAAGTCCTCCTCGGTGACATCGTGGACCATCAGCTGCTTTATATACACAGGAGAAAAAAAATAAAAAAAAGGCCATTGTCACTTCTGAGCGTCACCAAGTATCCCGCTACCATACCAAGCAGGCTGTCCCACTTGGGTCCCAGGGATACACCTGGGCTTATGACTCTGCGTTGCTACCAGTTTTGCCAACTTTCACAACCCCTTCACGACCGATTCCCACAAAAGCACTTTCCATTTTGAGCTCTGCCCCCCTTTTACAGTAACCTGGGCACCGCTGCTCAGCGCTCTTTACCTTTCTTGCAGCTTTGTGGAGCTTGCTGGGCGTCATCACTGCAGCTTTTGCCTTAATTCTGTACGCGACGCTGTCGCCTCTGCCTGCGTTATCACCCCGGGTGTAGGGTGGGAAGGGTTCAGTTACTGGAGCATCGGTGGGAAAATTCGTGACAACCTCATCAGATTCATCTGTGTCATTGGAATCATTATCGTCTACGTCATCATCTGGATCCTCATGGCTCTTGCTGAATACGGCAGGAAAGCGCTGGAAAAGATTTAATGTGCACCATGCACGTGAGCATATATGGGATGGACAATGCTCATGTGCTGCTGCATATCTAAGAGGATGAAGCATTTCTTTATTTATGGGGAGCTGTTAGCACAAGAACTGCATTTCATTGCTACCCACTGTCTGTCACACAGTCTTTATTTGGCTGCTCTTAAAAACTTACCTCTTGTACAAGGACATCAGCTCGCTCTTCTGAAGAATAGAGAGTCTGAAAGCAATAAAAGAAGTCATTACCAGCACGCAGAGGCATATATGATAGCGCCGATAAGAAAATGTGGGCAGCTTAAGGACTCAATCATAATGATCTACTTGGTCTTTCAACTAGTCACAGGTACCTTCTGAGGTGAGGCCAGGTCATCTCGTGGGAGCAGCGGATTCTCATGAGACTGAGAATTCACATGGGGGTGTCTGTGCAATTGGTGGCCCCTGGCATCCTAGGAAAGAAAAACTGAGCTATGAATCTGCAAAGGAGGATGCAGGAGCAGGCAAATGTGTGTGCATCACAAGATGTGGTTTTGGGCAGGTGTGACACCTGTAATGCACACCCTTTTTATGATAAGTGTCTTCAGCTATTCAGCACAAACGAAGAGAATTCAGACAGCCAAAATCCCAGGTTAATACTGTAAACTAACAGTATAATACTGAAGACGGGCTTCTCAGAGAGGTGGTGGCAGAGCTTTGAGAATTTCCAATCAGTTCTTCCAGCTCATTTTAATTTGATGAAATTTGGATTTGGCTCTAGGCACCATGACTTGTATTGATTTTCAGGTTCTCCTCCCAGCAATGTTATACCTCCACATCCTCAAAACTCTCTAAGATAAATGCAGTAGCTGATTCTTAGAATAAATAAACAAATCATTTTATTTTATTAGTAGCCTAATATGGAGTATAAGTCAAAGACCAAGACTAATAACCTTAATATGATAGGCATCTTGATCTTTGCATAGTATTACCTCATTTTTCTGCTAACTCGAAACAAACAGGTGGCAGTTTGGTAGAGAAGTTGTCTCCACTCACACATATTCCAAAAAGTAATGGAATTTGGACCAAAATGCTTTTCTGACATCAACTGTTAACTGAACCTCAGTAATGAATGTGGGTTATAAAAGCTATGCTATACTGTAATCTTAAAAAAAAGAAAGAAAAGAAAGAAAAGAAAGCATATACACATTTTTAATTAAAAAGAAAAATGGGTCTCCAGTGTTGGTCCAGAGATGGAGCTCATGAAAATACAAAATACCAAATACCAGGCTGCATAACATAGCATAAATCTACAGAAGTCACTAGAAATCCACTAATTTGTCCAGCTCAGAAACTGGCTCATGGTATCTAGGTTATGTTCTGCAAGCAGCTGTTACAGTTAAATGTGTATCACAGTGTGTATTAGCATAAATCAAAATGGCACTGTTAAAGAAAATAACTACGATATAGGCAAGACAGACAAAAGAACTTACATATTTTTCTTCAGAGCTGGCAGAAATGGCATGCTGCTTGGATTTGCTCAACTTGAAGGGAGGAAAGAGAAAAGAATTTGTCAGTAATAACTCCTTGCTAACGTGCAAACAGAATATGGAAGCAAATGCTAATATATATATTTTTATATATATGATGTACTCACTGGCCATGCGATGGTGATGCTGATAAAGCACAAAGAAAGCACTGCCACCTTCATGATGAAGTTCTCCCTAGAAAGTATTTTGGAACAGTGAGCCAACTGAATAAAATATTGTACCAGGTTATTCCCTTCTCCTGCTGTTTTTTGCCTCTGCCCCACACCATTCACCACCTCCTATCTCACTGCAGGATAGAAATACAAGATTCTCCTCAACTCAAGAGCTACAGGAATTTTCAAACCAGACACCATAAAGTGCTGGGCAGGGTGGAAAGTCACCCCCTTGAGAAGATGAATAGAAAATTCCTGTTATCTACTGGTCTGAGTTGAGGAAGGGCCTGGTGAAAAACCAAGAGCAAATAAAGGTCCAGCTTAGGCTTATCAAAGCATTGCATCAAAGATGAGAGATCAGAACAAGCTCTTCCTCTGTTCATCTTAAAACTAGTTTTTGGAATTATTAACTGCAATGGCTGCAAGTAACATTAGTTTATATAAACAGAAATTGCTTTTGAGAGGCCTTTTTCCCCTCTCTAGAAATCAGAACAAGGCAACCTGTGTTTCCAGCAAGTGATGAAGTGAAATTTATCTGCTCACACCACAGTTTTAGCAATTTATTCCTGAGAAAATTTAGGCAGTGCTGAGCTGCAGTAAAGTTCGGTGCCGATTGACCAGTCTCCAGCATAAACAACATCCCTGAGAAGTTAAGCGGATGCAGTGTCGAACAGGAAGCATTGAAAACGGCAGTAAATCACAGCAGGAGAGAAAAACACAGGCACATTTAGATTGCATGTACAAGGCTGGCTCTGGAACAGGGCACCGCACTGGAAGCACTGCAATTGCACTAGTTAAGTAAAGATGAACTGGCCCCGTCCATTCAGGAGTGTGCAGGAGAAGCCTGCCAGGAGAAACTGGGATTTTGCAAGGCAGTGGTTACAGGAGGGAAGCAGCTTTCCAAGGGCAAGCACCAGCCACAAGTTTCTAGCACTTGATTCAGTGGCAGAGATTTCAATGACCTCCTCCCAACATCTGTCAGCAGTCAGAGATTTAAAATCCCAATTCCGCGCAGTACTCTCCTGCCCAAGGCTTCCTCGACTGAAATCTAGGACATAACAGTGCACGCCAGGTGACAAAACGCAAAATTACCTGCTCTGATGTCGGAAGGGTTGGTTGCGACGGGAGCTCTGGTAGTGCTTCCAGCAGCAGCTCCAGGCAGTCGCCTCCAAGCAGCTCGGGCTTTCTCCCCGCGTGCCCCGGACTGCCTGACATCTCCAGCTTCAGGGAATTTAAACCCTGGCCGGGCCACCAGCTGCCAATCCCCGCGTGGCGGAAAAGGATGAGGTCATGAGGCTTCTCGCCACCGCACTGCCCACGTTCTCCTACACTTCCTCTTGGGCTTTGTGGCTTTTGAAGCAAACAGAGGCTGCTCTATGGTTAAAACATCACTTATGTGCAAGATCATTAACCAGCAGGGCTCCTGAAGGCACAGAGTAGCTGGTGTCGTGTAGGAGAACGTCGGGGCACTTCTATCCTGCGCCTGTGAAAGGGCAGAATCCAGGTTCCCAGAAATCTCTCACTGCAGGTTCTGTATGGGGGAAGAGAAGATAAAATTTGTAGGAAGAGAGGAACCTAGTCATAAAACTTTCTCCCAAAAGTACTAATGCTTCCATAAAGATTCAGAGTTGATCTCCAGGGTACCTGTTTCAATGGAAACTGCAAAGACAGGGTGCAGATTATGGCATCCTATCTTTTCAAGCTATACAGAGTAAAAATAATATTCATGCATCTTAATAGCTGTTCTGCTTCCAGAAACTCAATGGGAAAGGTATAACAGTATGAGATTCGCTATTTGCTCCTGAGCGCTACATCCCTGCTGGTGAGCAACAAATCTACTCTAGCAATATCTTGCTTCAATATCCACAATATTGGACTGATTCTGCTTTGCCTGTCATGTTCTAAGAGTCAGAGACTCTCTTGTTGCTGTTCCTTGCAAGTAAAGTTGGACATGCATTTCAAACACAGACAGACCTTCCAACTAGCACTTGGAGAAGGCAAAAGTTTTGAAGCTGGCATCTTTCTCTCACGCAGCTAATGCTTCCTTATGTAATTTAGCATCAGTGAATAGTGAGGACAGGAACAGAATTGTATCTGTCCTTAGTTAAGAAGCAATGCAGTAGACATCTGCTTGTCACAACTCCCATAACCAGTTATTCAGTGCCTAACATTTCTGTTGCACCAATGAGAAACACCATGAGAAACATACCCAAGCTGGCTCTGCATCTGCCCCTCACTGCAGCACAGGGGTCTATCTAAATATTTTTGTGAGTTGAGATCAACAACAACGTAAGGTCTCACTTGGTCTGTTTTAATAGAGTATCTAAATATGCAGGAGGAGAGTTGGGAGAACACATACACTACATCCTATTTTGAGCCTGTAAATACCTAGTTGCTCTGCCAACCACTAATCAAGAAGCATGAGACTGAATAACAACACGATATCGAAAAATGCCCTAGGGCTCTGCTTTGACCAGAACAAAAACTGCAAGACATTCCAGAGCAGCAGACTTTCAGCCTTAGTAAAATACATTCTATTTCTATTTGTGATTTTCTTTTTCTCCTCACCAAATTCCGCAGCAGAAATCAGTTATGCTGCCTGAGAAGCCCAGACGCACCAGACACCCAGTCTCCGTGCAGTGTTTTAAATACCCTACCGTGCAAGAAAGTTAAAACTGGGCTTATGCAAAGCAAGTGTTTTCTGAGTACCTGGAACACCTGTCCCCAGCAGAGACATCGTTTGGGCCCTAAGGACTCGGTGCTGGGGAAACAATTGATATTTCCAAAGTACCGGGAGATGGCAGCGTTTCTGAGCACTGCTGCCAAAGCTGTGTGGCTGATTTCCTAAGAACTAAGGAGCACAAGAGGGATATTTTGCAGTAATCCAAAAGCAGGACATGAAGTGACAGCTACTAAATGGCTTCATTTGATGCAAGATCAGCCAATGCAGAACTGTAGTAAATTTAGCGCTTGTCTCACGTCACATCATCATGCGGTTGTTCGCCCTGTAAATCATTGTCTAGCTGAGAAATTCCTCTGCCTGGGCAGGAGGTAGCGCTTGTCCTCTTGCAGATAAGGACCAAGCAGAGCACAACGGAGGGCTTCCACTTCCCAAACCAAAACACTTAAATCTGGAGAGCATTTGGTTGTACAAGCAGTCTACTTGCATCTGTGCAGAAAAGATACATTATTTTGGCTTTCAGGAACGACCTATCAGTGTCCAGGCAGAAAGGGACTGTGGCAGACTACAATTATTTTACTTACAGGGTAGAAAAACTCCCCTATCTGGCTGAACACAGTTTTTGACCGCACTTTGTTCCGTCCTGGGCTATATTAGGAGCGTGTGGTGACACTGATGTTCTGCACTGTAGGCAAGCACTATCAGTGCTTCCCTGCACCACCTCCCATGCATACCTAAAATCCCGAGTCGAGACACCAGCAGGGTGCCCAGTACTATCTCTGGCCCGCGTGGGAAATCCCAGCCTGCCTGCAATGATCAGCAATGGCCAGGCTTTCAAGACTGATTCTGGTTGCTCTCTCTCACATTACTCCTGTATGTCTTCTCCAATCCTCCGGGTATTGGGGAGCCTGCGTTTCTTACATGATTTCTCCTGTTTACTACACATAGGGTTGAAGAACAACACTAGCTCCATTTCTTTGACCTCAAGGGTATCAAGCCTCTACATTCCTTGCTGTATTGGTTGCCATTATGGAGAAGAGTTTGCCTTCTTCATCCCACTAAACCCCTTCCGCAGGTTGTTGCTTTGCCTCCTCTCAGCCACAGAGACTAAGCTTCAACCTTTGCAGGCCATCTGCTTTAGGCTCTCCTGGCGGCCTCCTATCGAACAACCTCCTCTTGAAGATGGAGGCCTCAAACCCGCCACGGCCTTGCTGCCACGTGTGGCCTCAGCAGCCCTAAGTCCAAAGGCGGTGTTAACTCCACATGATCAGAGGTCTGCACACCCCCGAATGTAGCCCCGAGCGCAGAAGGCTTCTTTGGCAGGGAGAGCACGCTGCAGGTAGAAGGTCAAACTGGGGTGTACCATAACACTGGCATCCTTTTTGGACTGTGCTCCCCTGGTACTCGGTGGTCCACCACAGAGCTTGCACCAGGAGCTGTCTGCCGAACCCACTACCAGTCCAGTTCCATGGGAAAAGGTGGGAGCACGCAGGCATCGTGCCTTAGGTCAGCACCAGATTCACACACATAGGATATTACACATGATATTGCAATACATAGAAAACACAGGTGAAATCCTGCCATCTTTCTGTCCAGATTTTTTTTTTCCAGTAAGAAATGTGTTGGGAGATGTTGGAACAGCATCTTCTAGATGGACAGGAATAAGCCTGCAAGAGACAGATTAATTTTTACAGCAGCATTAAAAATGCTATCAAATAAAAAACCAAGAAATCCCAACTTGGCAGAGCTCCCATAAGCAATTGCTCTGCAGCTAGACTGTCCCAGAGAAGAGCAGACTTTGTAGTAAATAGTGGTTTCTATGAAAAACAGATGAAACCCAAAACATTCTTGTATCATCACCGTAAAAAAAGCCTGAAAAGTGCCAGAAAAAGGAGTATTTCAGTCAGATATAATATATCCCCACATGCCCTCAAGTCTCCCACTTAAAGCCTCAAAAGCAGGGAAGAATTTGCAAGCATCGGTCGAGAGTCTCAAAAAAACTCCCTCCTTTTAAATAGACTAGCCAGACCACAAGAACGGTTCTGTCTAGGTCTGGGGGAGTGCTCGGTGCACAGGAGGGAAATTGGCTGCAGACTAGTGTGATTGAAAAAAAACAAATAAAAATTACAAAGGAGATTTGCTTCTTGAGTTTATGAGCAGGGCACTGCAGCAGAGCATGAGATGCGAGGCAACTGCTTTGCAGCACCTCCAAAAAAGCAACAGTCAAACAAGCAGCAGCTGCTTTCTCCATGGTGAAACATCTTGTGAAGTTATAGAGCAAATCCTGAATGGTATGAGGGCCTTTCAGCTTCCAGTCTCCCTGCCATTTTTGTTCGGCAAAACAGATCAGACAACTAGCTGGCGAGGTGAGCTCTATTTAATGCTTTTCCAGGCAATAAAGGTGATCACAGTATTGATATATTTTTCCAGAGTTGGCCTTAGCCATTCTGGGAGGGTTGCAATATTGTGCACAACGCTGACCTGGAGTTGTAAGAGCGAATAACTGGGACAGAATACAGACTTTGTGGGACACAACCCAAATGCAAACAGCTAATATGTTAGAAAGGACCCAAGTCTGACAGCTAGTACACATTTTTTTGGGTCTGTCATTGCCTCCCTTTGCATGAATAGAGCCCACCTGCTTGTTTCTGACTCCCAAGACTGATTGCTGCTTGCTCATATATTTAAATTCTTTTTTCAAACTGGTGTTGAAAACTGAATAAAAAAATATTCAAAATAACTGCCACAATGCAGTGGCCATGCAAATCCGAGGAGCTGTGAACAAAAGACAGATCACAACTTTGACAGAGCAGAGAGGCTGCCCTTACTACAGCATAAATACAGTCCAGTAGTTTCCTAAAATGGAGCCCTATTGAACTCTCCTCCCTTGACTTCTAAAGCCAACTGGAAAAATATTTTTTCCATTTTTTTTCCTGTTGATATGAATGTATTTTAATACCGAGGTCAGTGGAGCAGCACTTAAACCAACATAGAAACATCTCATTATTTTCTAATCATCATAGAAACCAGTTTGAAGAACCAAACACAAGATACTCTGGCACACATTCTGTTGCTGTCTTTCAGCTATGAAACAATAGGGGGGAAAAAAAGGAAAATAAAAATACATTTGTCTCAACTAGGAAACTTTAATACGTGAAAGAGTCTGAACTACTATTAGAAATAAAGACAACCACTGAGAACATACGGGATACACTTGTTGTTTTCCTCCCCACCTATACATCACTTTGTAACATATATAAACCTCAAAAGCAGTTGTCTGAGAACGAGAGGATGAAGCATCAGGGTAACCCAACAGGAGCTGAGCTGCATCAGGTCTCACGACCCCACATCCTTAACACTACTGCAGAGATAACAGGACAAGGAGAACCTGCAGGACGTGTGCACTTGGATCACCTGTACACACATAAAGGCAACTACCTCCCTGTCAGCTCAGGATGCATGGCCTGAATTCTCAAGTGGGATTTAACTGTAAATAACTTGATGGAAAATTCCTTTTGGATACATATTGCAAAAACCTTGATGACTTATTTCCCTTTTCCTCTCATATCCTTTGCCATCTCATTTCCTTATTTTCTATCATTACTGCAATATTCTCTTTCCAGCAGGAGAAGAAACTCATGGAAACTCCTGAAAATGCAGAATGGATGTGGAAAGAATAGTGTCTTCTCATGACGCGTTGTGAAACCGTTGGAAAGTCACAAGATGCCTGTTCCACCAAGCTCAGGGCCTTTTAGCAGAGCACTGCAGCAAAAATTCTGCAAAGACCTCACCTGTCCACTCTCATCTGCACCAGGCTCTGCATGAAGACCACCTTTCGCTGCCAGAAACCCCAAAAAAAAGAGATTACAACAGAGCACTGCAGAGATCAGGTGGATGGGGAGTATGAGTTCCTCCATAGTCACCAGCGTAAACCAAAGGGCGCCCAGACTGCCCTTCCCTACAGCACGGGGGCCTTGGTCTTGCCCTCCGTAGGTACCATGTTAAGATGGAGCCATGTTTCCACAACCAAGAGCATGAGGAGAAGCGGGGTCTGTGTAGGCCTTGTCAGAGACATGCTTTTCAAGCTTCTTCTGGAAAGGGTCACCACAAAGCGAATGGTTTGGAGAGGTGCCGGGCTGTGGGAGCACAGCATCCCTATCCATGGTTATCCGCACGCAAGCCCTCTTGCCTGCAGCCTGCTCTCATTTCTCTTTCTCCCCCAATCCGGAGGCAGGTGAAGCATAAGCTTTACAAGTGGTGTGGGAGAGCCAGGATGGCTTGTGACCCCACCAAGGAACCTGACCTCAGACCCAGGCCGGGCTGCCCCCAGGAGCCATTAGCATTTCGCGCGGTTTCAGGTTTGGCTGCGAACCGTTTTCGTGCTTCTAGGTCTAGGCCCTGCTGTGGTCTGAGGTGGACAGATGGAGAAGTGAGTCAGAGCGAAAGCAAACATCTCTCCTGGGCACTGCAAGGCCGGGCGTGGAGGCCAGGCCCATGGGGTGGGAGAAAAACAAACAAACATTTGTGGGCCTGATGAAGGGAAATCTAGATTTGGAGAGGAAGTAATTTGGCCCCGGAGCTGATCTGATCTTGTGGGGGAACCAAAAATCATCCGACTAGGGTCAAGGCCTCTGCCGTCCTGACTGAGTCACAGCAAAATTCTCCGCAGTTTTCTCGAGTGCAGAGCTGATGAGACTTTTTTTCCTGGAAGCACGGGCAGGCTGATGCTTGACAGGAACCAAGCCTTGTTCCTGCAGAGAAACACTTGGATTCCACACGGAAAACTGGGACTGTTCAGGCACCTCAACATATTTCATCTTAATTAGCCTCAGGGTAACAAACAACCTCAGATGCAACAAGCAGCGTCCCAATAGAGACCAACACTCAGACCTGGCAATTCTTGTTCTTTGGTTTGGTAAAGTCTTGCTAAACTGTTACATTTTTAATTTTTTTTTTTTTGAAGTGGATTAGAAACAACAGCTCACATCTGAGTGATAACATAGAATAAATATTCTTTTTCTTAAGTGTATACTTTTAAAAATAATAGTAAAAGCTGAATAGTTTGGATCATGGGGAATAAAGGTAATATATACAGCCTGCTATGCATTTGAGCCCAGCAGCGTGTTTGCTTTGGAGAAGACCATGTTCTCCCTCCTTACCAGTGCTCTTCAGAAGGGAGGTTTTTTTAAGATATGCCCAGCTATGAGATAATCAAATCCAGATTTAGGAAATCCCATTTTGCCTGTAATTCATACTGGCTACCTAGAAAGATTATTGGTTGAGCATGCAGCTATAAATTTGGCAGAGTAAATGGCAAACTGTGGTTGGCATATGGATGCCAAACAGGAAGCAGACTGCAGCTATACATTAAGGAGAGGAAAAGAAAGCCCAAGAAACCTGGTTCATCACCAGGCTCCAAAGCAAACAGCAAGAAGGGGCAGCTGAGGGGGCAGCTAACTCCAAGCAGCGTGAAACATCAGCGATCTTTGCATTAGGAGGAACATTACTGGTCAATAAATAACGAGCCAGAAGTGCTGTTTGCTTACCGAGGCTTGTTTATCTCTAAGCAGTCAAATGACTTCTCCTCAGCCATGGAAAATGTGAACGTAGCAGAATGACAGGCAAGTTTGGGAAGCAACATCCGTTCTGCGTGGAGAAACTTAATCTGTTAGGCCCAAAATAACTGATGTCGAAACACACTCGAATTCATATCTAAGCAATTGATTAAACCAAATGAGAAAATGATATGGTTTTTTTTAGAGCGTGTTGGCTGCATCTCAGCCAGCCAGGCAGAGAGACACGGACTGAGGCAGGTGGGAAATAACCGGTCTCACGTGGCCGGTTCGAGGCCGACAAGACAGCACCCTCCGCCCCACGGGAGCAGCTTGCCGGATCACATCTCCCAGGGCATCTGAGCGCTGAAGAAAGCCCTGCAGAAACCCCAGCACCTGTTACAGGAGGGAAGACCCTTGCAGGCTGCGCTCACGCATGGCTAGAGAGTTTCTGAGGAGCAGTCTACCCTGCATTCGGGCACCTACGTGTTAAATCATCACCCAGGCTCCTGGATGTGCCAATGGCGACATGGCTACGGCAAAGGTATTCGCAGAGGAGTCTCTATTTACCTGGGATAGAATTTCACTGGTTTAAAATTTACAAGTTGAGCAAATATTCACAGAATTGAGTATCTTCCTAGCCTCCACTCCAGGCAAAAAAGGCCAGGCTAAGGCCCCGGGCATTTTTGGATAAACCTTTCTCAACTTTGAGACCTATCGATTCACTCAACTTACCTCATCATGAGTTCTCTGCTATGACAGCAGGGCCGAAAGCAGCAGCAGTCCCATTTCACATGGATTTGGATTCGAGGAGGTGCAGACTAAAGTCTCGGGACCAAGTATAGGATGAGGTGCTCGGTCCAGAGAAAACCTCATGCCCAGGCTTTGGATCAGGGCTGTAATTTCATTGCTGAGACATAACTCTGAAGGAACACAGGAAACACATGCATTTTTATGCACTTGACATTCAAGTCTCTCCTTTCGAAAGGTGTACTCACTGACTTATCTGCGAGGCTAAGATGATAGGAATAAAATAGATTTTCCCCCACAAAGTAACTATAATTCTGTAAAAAGTCACATCAAGACAACAAAAAGTAAAACCCAGCACAGTGAGGTATTTTGTAGAAGTCTTTCATTTAATTTAATATCTACCATTCCTGCCTTTTCCACCTTGATATTATTGCACGGGCCTTAAATTATTTTCAGCGTGATTAATATTCATTATGGTTCTGTATGGGCCTGATGCCACAGGCATTATTTGGCAGCACTGCTCTACAGCCATAGACTTTTTCTTGTTGATCATTAAGTAAAGACTAAAGACTATTAAATAAATAGATTTAAAGAAAAAAAAAGAAGCAAAAGAAGAGAGAAACTGTAAGCGTCCATGCAACCATTTCCCTTTTGTTTATCAGCTCTTGGCTAAATAATATGCACACATCAGATGAGGTATGGATATGCCTGGAAGGTGCCAAAACCTCACTCTTACCTTGCAATTACGCTTGGGTTTCTCTTAACACACTGACTTCCCATCATGAAAGCAAAGAAGAATATGGAGGTGGAATAGACAAAACAAAATAAAAATAAACCTGGTGAAGTAATTGCCCTCTCTGGCTGTCAGCTTCCTTTGACTGGAAATCTTCCCCGTTGACCTAAGAGGGGAAAAAAAATACATTTGCACATATGGTCAAACTGCCTGCTCCTGTGTGACCACAATAAGGCCTGCTGACAATTAGCTTGTCTGCTCGCCCTGATTTGCTTTCCTCTCTCATCTACTCGCAGCCATTTACAGAGGAGAGAAGAACTGGGCACTTGTGCTACACATTGTAGTGTCTGGGCTACCCAGAGGGTCCAAGTCAAGACCCAGGATATCTTTCCTAAAAAGCTCCAAGCTCTTCCAGAACAAAATTTATAACATGGACAAACCAAAAGAATAACTCACTGCAGTGTGTAGATGATACGGACCAGATGGTGAGAATTGATGGATTTTCAAGAAAAAGGGGAAAAAAATAATAAAGGAGACCTTCTTCTATTTTGGCCTCCTGTGCAAAGCAGGCCAACAGACTCAGTCCTACTGAGCCTGATATCCAAATCGTGCCATCCACCTGATATAGGGCTAGGTTTCTACTGGACAGCTGCTCATCTCTAAGATGATGCACCTTCATCTATTGAACTTGCTTGATTTCAGCTCCCAGGTTGTTCTGTCTTTTCTCCTGACAAGCTAAACTTATCTGCTGGCAAAGGAATCTGAACATCACAAACATCTGATTTTTTTAATAGCATACTAAGCACCAACGGGCATTCGGTCAAGAAGCAGCCATCCATGCTGTATTTTCAAGCAATAAGCCTTTTGATTTCTTTGCACTGTGCACCAGGTTTGTTTTTTATGGGCTGGAGATTACTCATCCCACTTGCACAACTCAGCAAGGCATAAACACCGCAGCCTAGCTCACAGATCACAGCTATAAGCCAATTTTAATGGAGATCCCCCTCACATTGACGCTATCCTAACTTCTATATGTTTGCCCAACGTCCTCTTAGAATCATTATGGTTGGAAAAGACCTTCAAGATCATCAAGGCCAAGTGTAAACCCATCACCACCATGATCGGTTGAAAGAAGCTTCTTGCAGGGCCAAAGCCCAGGAGAAACAACTCCTTGTGCACTCAACTCAGTCATTACTCCCCAGGAAATCTCTGCTTCTGTGTAGGACCGGCACAAATGAGCAACAAGAGGAAAACGAAGGTCTCCAAGGAAAACAGGCCCTGGGCTATTTGCTTGGTTTCCCTCTTTCAACATAGCAATCTCCCTACAGAACATCCAAGAAAGCACACAAGGAGTATGCAAAATGTAATTAACATCGCTTGCTTCCTGTTACGAAGCGTAATTGCTAATGTAGACTGCAGCACAAGAATGGGGTTTATTTTCAGGCATGGTTTGTGCATTGCAAAACACGGGGACGGATTTGGGCTGTCGAGCTGAAGCCAGGGCAGACGTCTCTCTCGCTTCCTGTTTAAGCCCGTGGTCTGGGAAGGGCTGCCCTAACCTATAATGACGGCTGGCTCGCTGGAAGCAACTCCTTGCACTCGGTCTAGAAACGATGTTTTTGGAAGATCCAACATATGCCACAACATGCATGTGCTTCATTATCATCCGTGTGACACGAATGCTCAGTTCTTCTCAAGCAATTGTATAACTTAAAAACACGCAGGTCCTTACATATATTCACACCTACAATGATTATATAGAGCCATATAAGCTCCTGCAACTCTGTAGCGTATTCCTCCCAAGTCAAAGCTATCAGTCACTTCTTCCCCTGCAAAAATATTTTCTAGCTCCAAAGAACTAGAGCGGGACAAAATATTTACAAGCCAACGTTGCTTGACCAAATGGGAGCCCTCTCAAATCGTTATTTGCAGCGTCTCCTGAAATGGATAGCACATTTAAACGTGTGTATAAGCAAGCTATAGGAACTGTTGCTATAGGCGAGGTCAGGCAGAGCAATGGGTGGCTGCGTGGTGACAGCCTAGGAAGCCAGTGGGCAGGCACCTCCTGGCTGGAGGTCATCTGGCCCAGGCGGGTAATTCCCTGCAACGTGGCCCTGCATGCAAAATATATCACTGGAGGCAGAGAAGGCAGTTACAATGGATGACTTTGCCCTGCTCGTCAAGCAAGCTCAATAATTAAACAAAACCTGGCAATCAGTATCCCATGAGTAGAGAGCATGGATGGTGCAAGAAAAAAGGTGCTTAACTGAAGCTCTTCAGCTCTGCACTCAATGCTCTTCGCTATACACTTTGCAAGCCCATATAGCTTTTAAAAAAGCTTTAAAATATCAGCAATTTCCTCCCTGAAATCATGGTAGGGCTTTGAAAGTAAATATTCCCTTACTTAACACATCACCATATCAACGCGGCGCTGCAACATGCTCCCCAGTCTCCCTCACCTCTCCGCAGATCCTGTCCAGCTCCTAGAGGACAGCGTATTACTTGGAAAAAACCCCACATATCATGTTCCTACCCCACTTGTGCCTACATGTTCTTCTAGATATCTCAAGATACAGGTAAAAAAGCACAGCCTTTTCATGTTGCACTACTGGAGCGTACATCCACTTTGGCTGCTTGAATCACTCAGGCACACACAACTCTCAGCTCCTGGAATGGGCAGTTTTCCTCCACTTCTTCCAGACAACTCCCAAACCTACTGCAGGACATCCTAGCGGGTGTCTGTGGGAGAAGCCATGGCTACATACGTATGCAGGGAGGCACTGGAAGTCGGGAGCATTTTTGCCTTCTGCTTTTGCTCCCCGCGTTTTGCTGCAGCCCAAGGAGCAGTGACTCAAATGCCTAAAAGAAGCCCTAAGCAGCCAACAGCCCTGGGGTCATTGAGTTCTGGGGTTCTTAGGTTAGGATAGAGACCCTGTCCCGTTCTCTCCCTTTTTTGCTTGGAAAGGGTTTGTTAAAACCTAAACTAGACTTTCCCAAAATAAGAGCAACAAATAAGAGCAACAAAACAGGAGAAAGAAGGGAAGGTGAAACTAAGAAGAAAGGTATTTGCATTCCCAAGGTATTGCACAAGAATCGCTGGAAAAAACCTAGAGAGCTTCTAAAAACCTCAATTCCTGCTCAAGAGTGTCTGAGGCATCAGGTCCATTTGGCACTCGCCTGCCCTCGGGGACCTCCAAGGAAAACCAAACCACAAGCACATCGCTCGCTTCCTTCCCTTGCCGGATGCTCAAGGCACCAAGCCCTGCAGGCAGCCACAGCTTCAAGGTGGCCTCACCTGGACTCGTGCAGGTGCCGGCCGGAGCTGGCTGTGCCTGGACCAGGGGGGTGACAGACAAATCCCAGGCCTGGTGAATTTTGGGAGGACCACTGAGGCCAGTGGCAGCAGAAGAACTTGGCATTCCTGCGGGCAGAGCAGGAGCTCTGCTGCACTTTCCGCTGGTCACAGCAATCAAATATTATACATCAAAATCACACACCCTCCACGGGCTGCTGCCCAGCACAAGCCGTTGCCGGAGCGCCGGAGCAGCCGAGGGCAAAGCTTGCCCCTTTCTCTATAAAACCTGGGCAAGGAAACATGAATCATTTCCGAGCAATGCCCGAGGTGGGACAGACCACTGCCTTGCAGTAGTGTTTAAAGCCTTTACATTGGGATTTTCCAGCAGCCGTTCGCTGCCAGGCTCGTGAATCATGCTTTGCCCGTGGCATCAGCAAGGTAAACGCTTCAGTTCCTGAGAGAGTTAGAGCTACAGCAGGAAGAAGAGAAAAAAAAAAAAAAAAAAGGAAAAAAATAGGAGAAAAAAAAAAAGGTGCTCCATGCCACATACCTTGAGCAAAAGCTTCAGTGCGTGGCTGGCACCTTGGATGGGTCGCCAGTCCTTTCTGGTGCCAGATACACTCCCTGTCTCCAGGTCTCTGCCAGCTTAAGCAACAGGTCTAACGTGCAGCAAGAACTTGGGAAAAGAACTTCTGACACAAATCAGAGCAAGGACCAGCTAGAGACAGAGAAGGCCCAGGGAGAGGGTGAGAGCCGAGGAAGCGCCTTTTATACAGGTGTTGCTTAGCTAATCACAGCAGCTGCTGGAGGTGCTTAGGCTGGCAGCTGTGCACAGACACAGCTGTCCCTCAGCCTAAGCCTTTAGTCTTAGTCCCATGCTGGAGAAGGGAGTTTTCAGACTCTGCTCTTGCACCACTCAGAGCTCTGAGCATTCAAGGGCTCAGACCTGCACCCTCCACAACATCCACTTGCCCTGATTTACCTTTGTAACACCTTGACCATGGTGTGTAAGAGCCATCCGTGAAAGCTAAGGGAGTCTGCACAGGGAAACCCAACCCTCAAGGCTTCATTTCATATGCTGGACAAGTCTCCTCCCAGTCAATGGAGACAGGACCAGGCCAACTAATCCAAATCCATCTCCTACACTCCTCTTGATACCACTCTCAGTTATTTACCTTTTACAGTCCATGTGGGATACAGGGCAACTGTCTCCTCGCAAGAGATCCTTCCGCCATCCCACCGTGATCTTGGTCCAAACCTATTAGCAACGAACAGGAGCGAAAGCTGAGTTTGAGGCACAGCGGACGGGGCACCGAGGGATGGAGAAGGTCTGCCAGTCCCTGTTAAGCAAATGGTGATTTCTGCAGGACAGAGCAAACTGGAAGAGGGGATGAAAGCCCTAGGGCCAGGACAGTGTTGACAGGACAGGCCCATGCAAAGAGGAGAGAAAAGCACCCAGGTGGGAATTCGTAGCCAGGGCTTAGCCTGAGCTACGTGTTTTGGCAGCCAGGCCCGGCCCTGCGCCCCTCCACCTAGTGCCCAAAGCAGCGCAAGAGCGCCGCGGCCGGCAGAAAGTGGGGAAACCTCCCAGCAAGGATGTGGGATGCGGGCCTGACCAAAACCAACTGTGCTAGACGTATGCTGGCCCCGTCCCTTCCCACTCTGGCAGACCCCCAGCCCCGCTAGACATTCATTACATGGTTTTGTTAGGCTTCTATATATGCACCTTGCTGTAAAGTTTAAAGAAGACCTTCCCTTCCAGTAAATTATAGCTTGGCTTTGGCTTTCAGGCAAGGCTGCAGCTCGGGTGTTTAGACAGCCTGCCTTGCTGGGTTGGGGCTTTTCCTGAACACCACGTGCAGGGCAGGGGAAGCAGTTCAGCGGTTGCGTCCTGGGTACACAAACAAACCTACAGATCTCTGATTGCAAAACCCATGAAAAGCCTACGAAAAACAGCACGTTGTAAAGAAGTGGCCCGGCTAGAGGCAAGGACCCATGGGATCGCATTACCCACGTCGCCGGTGTTTGTTTAGAGGCGGCCAAGTAGGAGTGCCAGCCGTCCAGCTTGCCTTAAACGTGCCCGGAAGTTTTGCTTGGATGGACTGTTCTCATAGGGACTGTAAACATCAGGCTCCTCCAGTCCACCTAGGGATAAGCAAAGTGCCACTGTGCATGGGAAGCTTGCAGGTTCGCACTTCACATCACAAGGGAGGCAAGAGCTTCAAGAGCTCTTCACCCAAGAGCTTCACGGTCCCCACATCGCAAGCCCAAGCAACAGGACACCACCTCGGCCTGGGTCACAACCCTCCGAGATTAGTGGGGACATCTCCAAGGCTTGAACTGGTCCTGCCCAAAGACTGAGAGTAATAGCAAGGGGAGGAAGCAGTGGCAAAACCACCCTGGAGTGGGTGGGTTTTACATCACAGGTTGGGGTGTTTTATGTCCGTGCTTGGAGCCACACACTGAATCCTCTGGTGGCTCCTAACCATTGCAGAAAACCCCAAATCTTTCCGTCCTTCACTCTGACTTTCCTAAGGAGGAAAAAAAAAAAACCCAAAACACCTGTTTTTGACAAAGAAAAGATACAGAAGATGCAAAAGAATTGTCACAGCAGCAGGGCTATAAAAGCCAGAATACAAAACTAAAGAAATATTTCTGTTTATAAATATTCCTTGAAATCCTGCTAGGTGTTAATAACATTTTCCAGAACCCTCCTGTCTTGCCCACCATTGCTTTGCTGAGGTTGAGGTTGGAAGGGGCCTCTGGAGATCATTTAGACCAAGCCTGCTGCTCAAGCAGGGTCACCTAGAGCACGTTGCCCAAGATCGACGATGCTACTGAGGCAAGGCCCAGTGGTGCTGAGGTCGGCTGGTCTTCCAGACCTGTGACGCTTATGCTCCTTGGAGATGTCTGATCCTTGGCCACGGGCACGGGGCCCCATCAGCAATTTCCATCGCTGCCTGGGGCGGGAAGGGTGGCTCATGCTCCCTGCATCTCACTCACATGATACGCAGGAAAGCCGACTTCTCTTTTTCAGTCAAAGGTTGCAATGGCTTCTTTTTCCATGACCGCTTCATGGCCCTCACTTGAACCGCACGTTACTGATAATCCACTGTGCAAAATCTGGGTGCCCTCTGCACTTAGCCACTAGAAATCAGTGAGAATTTTCAATTAACGTAGACGTTTCTCCTTATAAGCATGACATTCCCCCGAACACACATATTCACTTGGCCGCATCCCTCCAGTTCTTACTTCTATTACACAACTACGACTCTGCCTGCAAGGGCAGTTAGGATTTTTAGGGACTTTGCTTTGCTTCAATGTGCTCATTTACAGGATGGAATAAGAAACCTGAAACACTCGAGCAAAATACTCCCCTACGCCCACGCAAAGAGACTCCAGGCAATAACTTCATTGTGTCCTTCCTTAGGAAAAAGAGTATGTGAACATGTAACTACATGCACGTATGTTGGAATGAACATTTCCCCAGAAACACAATCCACAGCAGAGCTTAAGGCCTGAACCAAGAGTGGCTTTGAAACCTTTGCGAGGCTTTTTCATCCTTTCCAGACTCCTCCACATTACAAGCTAAACACTGAGTTAAAACCGAGTTTAGGAAGAGCCAAAGCAGGTAGCTCAGCACAACCCTCCTTTAGCAGGAAGGAGGGCCTGCCAAAATGCAATGTGCCCCGTGACACAGACATGCAGGCACCTCAGAGAAACCTGAGCACCCTTAAAGCAGATACGCAAGCAAACGATGATTTATGGGTTGCCACCTCTGTGCTGTACAAAGCAAGCGTCAACCTGCTGAGTGCCGGCCCTGGGAAACACAAATATTCCGTAATGAGCAGAAGTTAGATGTGTAGGGTTGAACTATGCTGCTTTTTAAGGAAACCACAGAGAAGCTTTTCCAGGATGGAAAAACTGCAGCGCTTTCAGACCTGCATGGAAAGCCCTCAGGGCAAAAGGCTTTTTTCTCCCACTAGATGGTGCACGGACCTTGCTGATGGCCCAGTCCTCTCAAGGCATCAATTTAGGAAGAGTCCCAACCCTGCCAGCCCTTTGGAACTGTGCACCCAATGCCAGGAAGGGATCCCAGAGCCCGCCAGAGTTGTGCCAGATGGCCCCATCCAGAGCCGAATGGAAATACACGGTGTTACCGTCCTCATCCTGGCACTGATGAGCAGCATCAGGAACCCCTGCCTGTTCCCAAATCATCTGGGTACGTGCTTGGGAATGGGAACTGCCTCTCCGAGCTCTCTGAGCTGGCCTCTGCATGCGGGGCAGGAGGAACACGTGTTCCTCTTCTTTAGATGAAGATGTACCATTTTAACCGTGAACCCCAGAACTATCATTTTAATCATGAACCATGAACCCTCGAAGTCCCCAGAGGGCAGCATCTCTCCATGCAGCGCATCACGCCACAGCCATGTCACTGTTCCCTCTGTCCTCTGCCTTGTGCTCCAATTTGAGTAAAAATCAGAGAGCCAAACAATACGAGGTTATAGAAATAGCATGTCCTTTTGGGCATAGCTGCCATGCCATGCATGCATGAACCCAGTGTGTTCAAGCACTCACCCAACTTCAGTAGGTCCAGTGAGGGGAAAGAAGGGTCCCAAAGCCACAGCATGGACTGGAGGGGGGCACCTCGTGACTCAGGTGATGGGCGAGGGCGGCATTTGGCCGGACTCCAAGCAGGGAGTAACAGGGAGGGTGATTGTGATCGTGGAGAGCGGGGTTTGAAGTCCTGAAGGAGGGAAATGATGAGGATGGATCATGGTGGGGCTGGGGAGAGCAGGGCTCAAGAGCCACCCGGTGACATCAAATACCTTCCTCCCCAAGTGCAAGGACCACGCGGACAGGTTTTTCTCCCCATTTATTTCCTCGCTTCAGACCCCGGGACGGCGAACAGCGCTCTCGCGTGCTGCGCTACTGCGATTTACGGCATGGCCTCCTAGCGCGCGTTGCCTACAGCAGCCCCACACATGGCTTTCCCAGCATGGCAGGCAGCCCCCCCGCCTCAACGTGGTGGCATCGCGGGCTGGGCCGGTGCTTTGGGGCGCGCGGCGGCCGAGCCGAAGCACGGCCTCGAGGCAGAGCCCCTGCTGCGGCCGTGGCGGCAGGGCAAGGACCGGCACCCGCCGGCCCAGGGGGTGGCTGCCACCCCTCGGGGATGGTTTCCTCTGGGGGGGAGGTGCCAGGGGGGTGAGGTGTCCCCAGGAAGCCATGGGGCAGCCCGGGGAGGGACGGGGGGCTTGGGTGCCTCAGTGGCGCCACCGGCCCTCCCGGCCCCAGGAGCCATCACCCTCCTGGCGGCTGTCACTGCGGCTGCCCTGCTCCGGCTCCGACGACTGGCTGCTGTCCTCGGTGCCGCGGTGGACTGGCCGGGGCCAGGCGCCCCGCGATGCGTAGGGGCCGAGGGGGGCCCTGCGGTGCTGCTGGGCCCCGCCTGGGGCGGCCTGTCCAAAGGCGTAGACAGAGCGCTCCTGCACGCGGAGCTCGTCGGCTCGCCGCACCTGGTCCACGCGCCGGCTGCGGCCGTACGCCTCGTACAGGCGGGCAACGCCGCCGGGCGGCTGCCGCCTCGAGGGCACCCCCGGCCTCCCCCTGCCACCGCCATAGCCCTTCCCCTCAGCGCCCCTCAGCCGCGGGCTCCTGGGGGTGCCCCCCCGGCGCGAGCTGGGCGCTGCGGTGGGAGCTGCGCCGTAGCCAGGAGCTGCTCCGCGTCCGGG